GCATTTTGTTTGGCAAAATGTGATCAATTTATTGTTGAATTCATTTTTGTTGTTTATATAAAAATCTGAACAAAACGTGACATTTGGGTCAATATAGTCGTCGTATAACCGAATGGTTAGTAAACTATTATATTTGGGAATACATTGGAAGTGATTCTGATATGACTTTTCGTAGCATTTATTCAAACAATGAAATTGTGTTTCATTTGTCGGATATTCATAGCATTGNAATATAAATACAGCATCTCCTGTAATGAATGATTATAAATTTAATTTAATTGAAAACTTTTACATTCAAATAACATATTTGCCTCAATTATTATTCATACAACTGGTCATAAGTATCGCCAATATATTGAGTCTATGGCACGGAATCAGTTTCATTGGTTTACTACAGGATATGATGGGATATATTGGGAGATATGCCGACAATACTTATATAATACAGATTTTATATTACATTAGATGTAGCAATGTCAATTCATTACAACTTAGAATCCATTTAAAAGTAAGTGGCGATATTACTGTACAATATGTTTCTAGAATACATGAGGTTAATATTATTTTATGTTATATATTTTGTATTGTATTTAAATACTTTAATAATTTTTATAACTTATTTAATTATAGCGCGTATTATCGGCAATACTTTTGTCACTACTTATACACCAATTATACGACATATCTGTGCATTACTTCAGCTATGAACCATTATCACAATCGACACCAACGACTACCAAACCGATGGGAACTACCCTTTCGTCTCATTAGTCTTTCACAATATTTATGAATTTCGTGACAATAACTGCTATATTCATGAGTCATCAGAATGTCATTTTAATACAACAATCGGACACTTAATTGATAAACATAATAATGATAAAACAATTGTTAACCAGTACAATTTAATTTTGAAAACCATGATCAATTTCAATGATATAAAATCTGTGGACACTTATTATAAGACACGTTTATTACGAACAATATATCTGAACGAGTCTATTGTGAATGACTCGAAACGTGTCAATAGTAACACATTGTTGACATTGATACTGATAAACAGTATGAATTGGAATCCATTCATTGGTATACTTTTACATTCTAAGCCATACATAGGAATAGGCCGTGATTTGCCATCATTTAGTGGCAAATATAGTTTCAATCAGACCTTGATTATTAAGAAAACGGTTGTCAAGTATTTGCCGCTTGGAGTGCCGTTGACATCAAGGATACGGCAGTGATGACCACTTGTTGGTAAGCCAAGGGTTAGCGTATGTGTCACACACTCTGCAACACAGCCTATAATAACCTCTGTTTCTGTGTTTACAAATCCGATTTTCATTGATCATTATTTCCACGAATTAGACTACGTTTCAAAACATACCCAATTATATTGCTATTATCTTGACGTGTTTAAAAGATTGTATTACAATATTAGTGTTGAATGTTTGAAATATTGTCCCAAAGATTGTCTGAAAGTTGAGTACAACTGGAGAGTCATATCAAGTGATTCACAAATTGGTAACGAATTCTGGTTTAACTCAAGTCTTGGGAATAGGTTTACAGAGAAGTCGTTGGTTTGGGACTCAACACAACCCCTGTATGTCTATCGGGAGGAACCGGTTATGTCTCTAACAGACTATATGTCATATACTGGAGGACTGTTTGGTCTATGGTTTGGCACTAATGGCAAAGACTTCATCNGTCATATACTGGAGGACTGTTTGGTCTATGGTTTGGCACTAATGGCAAAGACTTCATCATTTGGTTAACACTGAGAATCCGTTTGCTATGGATTTGGTTTGCAATGAAATACAATCAATACTTCACTCACACTAGAGTACATGTGTTTCACAATTAATTTTATTTTTTGAAATAATACATTAATGTTTGATTCAAATTATTTGTATTTTATTTAATTAATTAAACATTGACATTAAACACAGAAATTATGATATATAGATTATAATGCAGTATCTATTTTATTACATAATGTTTATAAATGTAAAGGTTAAATCAAATTATTTTGTATTCATACCAAAAGCTGTTATCTCGATACCTGTTAATGTTACCTGTTATCTAATCCCTGTCCCCAATCCCACACTATAACTAATCGCTGATTATTTGAGAAATTCCTGAACACTCGGGAGACTAATGAGACATATCATAGGGAACGACATCTTAACGACTGTACATTTCGTACGGAAATAGCGATTAGTATTTATACCGATTATTATGATTATTGTGCTCTCATTATAGTGTAGAAATCACTGATGAAACTAAGTGTTTCTAACTATTAATTTTCTGTTAATTAGATATAAACTAATTATATATAGCATTCAAGTTGATATACTAATTGCGTGGACACACCTACACTCCTCTATCCATGTTTCCGGTAATAAATAAATGGGCAATAGAAAGGTCATTAGTTAATGATTGACACCCTTAACTATGGCAAACTCATAGGTGGCCAGGGCCAAATTGCTATGCTTTGAAGTTTTCCATTAATGGCACTTGGTCAGTTACCATGGTTTGGTTCACGAAATATGTACTTTTTGTCTATCAATATAATAGGTGTAATATTTTGGACAGTATGCACAGCGGCCTGGTTGATACAAATGTATGGCATGATATTTCTTGGCTATTTAATTATATACATGGGCAGTAATTATCTAAAATACAAATTCACCGAAATCAACATGGACATTCGTATGGCTATAAAACTTCGAAGCAATACGTTGCTAATGAGAGCGATTAACCAGCACAACCTAGTTGCCGTAATGACCCATAGGTTTAACACACACTACGAGTACATACTGTTTGCGGTCTACTATTTCGGAACGCCTGCCATTGAAATACTATTGTATATAACGTTCGCGAGGGGCACCACAAAAATGGTGTTCCGCTTTGTGGCGGCATTTCTGTTCATTATAATGTTTGGCGTAGTATTTATGGTCAACTACCTGTTCACTCGGGTCAGTAGTTCGGCCCATAAAAGCATTCATATTCTGTATTCCCATACGAAGGGCACAACACTATCACTGAGACATCGGTTAAGGGTTTTGGTGTTCATCGAGAGGTTAGACAAATACGACATCGGGTTCTCTATTCACGACTTATTCCGTATGTCTTCACTTGAGTTCTCGTTGTATGTCTGTGCGGTTGTCACTAATTATATGCTTATCATTAACTTTGTCAGATAATTGTGCGTGTTCACATTTATAATACACATAAATTTATTTGAAACAGTTACTATATTGTTTATTTTAATAAATAATTTAAAACATTAATTTGTTAATTTATAACATAAATTAAATAAAATTAATAACAATTTTGTGAATTGTATTTGTTGCTTTTAATCGTGACTATGCTATCTCATTTTTATTGTATATACATGTATTACATTATGCTAATTTTTAAATTGTATAAAATAAAACTATATTATAAAGCTCTAATAATTATCTGGCAATATTTTGGTATTTCTATGTAATACCTTTAACATTTCAAAATTTTTTCCATAGACTTTTCAATGAGTTTTCAATTACTCTCATAAATAACATATTTCATAAAAAAACACAAATCAATAGTTGTTTTTGAATAATTGCAAAAAAACTAAAAATTATGAATAGATTATTTAATAAGTAATTACAACCTTGAATAGGTTTTATGTGTAAGCAGTATATTCATAATAATAATAATTGATCTTGAGACATTAACTCATTTATGATTTATTAGTTCATAGTTACATTAAAGTTTATTACAATTTGTTATCAAGATACACTACACGATTATAACTATTAAGTACTGCTCTCATCAAATACACTTTTCTAAAACCATAAATTATTTCAGTATTTTTACTATTATAGTAATAGTACTGTGCCTAGGGAAAATCAGGGCTAATTAATATTTATAAAGTAAGTCATAAAAAGTAAGCCATAAAAAGTAAGTTAATAAAATATTAAATCCTATGTGCCTTAGATATGTTAAGATAAAAAGTGTGTTATTTCTTACCACTAATCGTTATATTGTTGCACAGAATTAAAGTACAAATTTTATTACAGGATATAGTTTTTCAATGAATCTAATGAATCATTAGTTAAAACAAAAATTCCAGTTAAAATATAGCAGCAATATAATTTTATTAACATTTTCTGATTATTAAACAACATTCATTATAAATATTACATTAGAAAATAAAATTGTATGATATCAATTTACAGAGTAATAATAAGTAGATATTTATTAAATACAAAATTTTAAAACCTTTTAAGGATATTGCATTTTATAACGAGCTAGGTGCAAAGTCCGACACACGCTTGACTTATAGGTAGAAATATGTTATCAAAACAATTACTATATTCGTGTGATTTTTGTGATAAAATTTTTGAGTATTTCTAGTAATAAATTATTTCATAAGTAATAATTTCATAAGTAATAAAAACTACTAATTAAGCAATGTCATAAAAAGAGGTTCATTAATATTTTTCAAGGTCCTAGATCATTGAGATGTGCTATAATAATGATAAGGAAATGCTTTTAACTTAATTAATTAACTTTATATTATAATATATCAAATAATACATGTACAGTATATGTTGCATTGTAAGGTGGTTAATATTAAAAATTATATATATTTTGTATAAAGTAACTTAAATTTAATTAACATGCGTAAACAATTATTTATGTGCGTTATGTTTATAATAATAATTATTTTGTTTTTAAATTTTAATTTCACATTCATTAACATTCACAATAAAATCATTTTAAAAAATATTAAATTATTTAAAAATAATTTTATTCGTGTAACTCATGCTTATAGTGCTAATAGTGTCAAGAATTCAACACATATTTCTATAACAAAATCTACAGAATATAACACAGAATTTGTGAATAATTCCCAGAATTTTGTTATTAATAGTGAAGTAAATAATCTAAATATTACTGAAAATTTTGACAAATATCTGGTGAACACAAATACATGTCGTATAGTCCGGTGGTCTATGATTGATGAGGAGGTGCGGCCCCTGTATGTGAATATGTCGGGCAAACGGATTGAGTGTAAAGGACCTAAAAACAAGTACAACATATCGATAGAGAGATACAATTTTACGGGAATTAGAGTGACCAGTGATTTGAATAAAGTGTTGAATTGTTGGGCAAAAAGTGTGAAAAGGTTTCGGAAATCCGATGTTATGATAGACTATACAAATAAAGTGGTGTTTAAATCATCGAAAATACAGTACTTCCCAAATGCTATTGCCGTTAGAGTTAAGTGTACTCTACATAAAGGTTAGAAGATTAATAAGTTTTGAAAAATGTTTAGTTTATTGTAATTTAGTATATATTTTCAAATATTATTTCAGAAAGTTATGAGAAAGTGGTACCACTTATACCAGTGATAGAGTCGCCAACTGTCCGGGAATTACCGGATTCTCGAGACCTACCGAACGTATTGTTCGTTGGCATCGATTCGGTGTCGAGACTGCAGTTCGACCGACACTTTCCCATCACTGCCCGCAATGTAATCAGTGGACAGGGATTTCACACAATGTATGGCTATAACAAAGTGGCCGACAATACCTTCCCAAACCTCACACCACTTCTCACCGGACTATACGCCAGCGACATATGGAATGAGACAATGAACGCACAGTTCGACTATTTTCCCTTCATATGGAAAGTATGTTTTAAGTCTAAAAATTAAATTAATTTTAAAAATTATTTTTACTTATTATTAGGAATACCAACGGAAAGGCTACCGAACCCTATATATGGAAGACGCGCCGAATATGAATACATATAACTATAACAGAAAGGGCTTTAGAGACCCGCCCACTGACTACTACCTCAGGCCATATTACCTGGCTATGGATCACGAGACCAAACATAATTGTTATCTTGATAAACCGGAAGTAGTGGTAAATATTTGAAATCAAAACTATAATATATATGGTATATAAAGTACTGTATGAAGTTATATAAAATAATAAATGATTTTTATAAAACCTGATAAGTTATTTAAATGCTAACAATAAGTTATTAAGCTAAAATGCAACTCGATCATTAGTTAAAAATGCTAAGTTTATTATTGAAATATTGTCTAAATTATTTGTAAGTTATTTTTGTTTTAAATAATTTTAGATTTTGTACAAAATGTATTAGCTACTTATGGTATTTGGTGGTTATTTTCAGGTATATTACGAGTATTTGTTGGACTTTATCCGTGCAATGAATACCAGAAAACACAAGTACTTTGCGTTTCATTTTATGGCTAAACTATCGCACGATATCCTCAATAACTGCGGATATTTTGATCCCATTATTGATAGACTTTTTGGACAATTATTTCGCGAAAATCTGTTAACAAATACAGTAATCGTGTTCTTCTCGGACCACGGGTTGAGGTTCGGAGACATACGACAAACACTGTCGGGAAAGTATGAGGAAAGGCTGCCTTTTATGCATATATATGTCCCCCAGAGATACCGTTCCCGTAATATGACGGTCAATGAGCACCGACTCACCACTCCTTTCGACATACACTCAACGCTTAAGCATATTATCGAAGGTTTGTTTGAATAGATTTTTATGACAATAAAAATTTGTGTCTATTTTTTAGGTAAACCTAACCATACGTTAAGTTATGGGTTATCCCTATTAGAGGAGATCCCATACGACAGGAGTTGCGATAGTATACCGATATTAGAGCACTGGTGCGGCTGTCAAACCAGTCAACCCATACATGACTTACACAGCGTTAGACCTATGGCTGAGTTTGTGGTCACAAAACTCAATGATTTACTGCACGACAAGTATCGTAAGGTTTGCGTAAACCTAACATTTGGTGAAACGCTGTCCGCATTTGAACAGCAAATGAATGCTAAGACTGTTGTGTCGACTGAAGTGAAGCACTATTTGCTGACAATTCGTGTCCATCCGAGTGATGGTGTCTTTGAATCGACCGTTCATTTGAATACGACTTCACATCAAATGCTTATAATTGGAGACATTTCTC